ATCAATACTGCATCATTCAGCAGAATGATTCTGTTTATAACAGCTTTTAACTTTCAGCAGTTTAAATTTGCATGACTCAGAATAGCTCACTATTGAAGAAAAAAATACTCTTTAAAGACATAACTAACCAGTGGTGTCTTCCAAACTTTACAATTTTAGTAGCAATAACCCTGCTATACATTTCCTTAAATTAATATGCTTTTTAAATTTAGTTCATTTTTGTATTGGTACAGAGTCTCACTATGCAGTTCAGTCTCTTGATGATCTTCCTGTCTCAGCCTTCCCGATCCTGAGATTACAGGCATGTGCCACCATGCCCAGTTCTGGGCCTGCACCACCAGAGGTACCTGGGATTTTAACTCGGGATCTTGTGCTTGCCAGGCAGGAGCTTATGCCACCAAGCTATATCCCAGCTCTGAATTTTAAATTTTTATTAGTCCATGGTAGTTTGCATAATGACTACTCTCATTGTGTATATTTGATACACACACACGTGACACACTTTAATACTTTCTACATTTTTTTCCTCATCCTACTCACTCATCTATCTCTCAGGCCCCTTCTCATTTGTGAAAAACTCAGAAGCCTACTACCTGTTACTTAGTCATGATTTTACTCTTTAACTTATACATACTTTGGAGTCCTGTATAGAAGGAACCATATGTTACTGAAGCTTATATATCTGTTTATTTCACTTTTCTTGAGACTTTGAGTTGTGTTTGCTTTCCTGAAAATGGCAAAATCTGGTCCTTGCTCATGCAGATCAGTACTCCATTGTATTTTAATGCTGTATTTTTCATCTGTTCTTCTGCTGGTGAACACAGAGGCCAGCTCCAAGACTTAGCTGTTGCTAGGTGTGCTGCTGTGAATAGGGCTGTGCGTGGGGCAGTCTAACGCTATGTGCAAGACACCTACTGGGAGAAGAGGGCGTTCTGGAAATGAATCCGCTCCTAGTTGTTTGAGGGATACACCCAGGGACACGCGTGGGCGATACTGTCCTAGTGAGCGGAGCAGGAAGGAGACTTCCTCTTTCTGGATAGCCTGCCCCATATTTGTAACTGTTTTCTTGATGATCTCCATTCTTAAAAGAATGGGTGATCTTGCTGCTGCCTTGATTTGCATCTGTAAAAGCCGGCAACGCTGAGAATCTCCTCCTGTATTTATGGACCATTTGTACTCCTTTCGCTGAGGAGTGTCTATTCAATTCAGATTCTCATTTCTTGATTTGGTCTTTTATTTGGGGAAGTCTAAACTTTTTGAGTTCTGTGTGATGTATTCAAATCTTCCTTCAGAGATGAGGCTAGCATTTCTTCCCAAAATTTATATGCTTTATGTTCAGTTTTGGGGTTGCTTCTTTTGATATGCACAATCTTTCATTTTAATTTTAGCCCCATTTGTTGATGCTATTTGTTGCAAAATTATTATGTCTCCAGAAATGTCGTCCCTATATCTACTGTTGAGAAGAATGCATATTGTGTAGTATTAAGGTAGAAATGCGTTGCCTGGCAAGCACAGGGTTCTGAATTCAATCCCCAGTACTGAAAAAAAAAGAACGGTAACTTTTTTTTTTTTTCTGTAACTGGGGATTGAACTCAGACCATTGTACTTGCCAGGGAAGTGCTTTAGTCTACTGAGCCATCTCCCCGGCCCCTAAGAACTGTAAAATAAATAATGCTTCCATATTTTTTTTATGTGCTTAGTACAGGTCTACATAGACTGGACTCATAGTGATCATCCTGTTTTCAGCCTCCCAAGCGCTAGAATTACAGGCACGTGCCACCACGCCCAGTCTCAATCGCTGTGTCAGCATGCCCCAGAGCAGGGCTGGCACAACAGGCCGGGATTAAACCGTGGCTGCTGCACTCTCCCTAAACAGGCGTTTTAGTCCCCTGAGCTCTCTGGATGGTCCTTCTAAAAGCATTTTTGAAATATATGCTGCAGCCCTGACATTTCTTTAGTAATTCTCTGAGTTAATCTATTTATGAAATTAGGATATTGAAATCACCCACTATGATTATATTGGTGTTTATTCAATCTTTTCTATCCTATATTTATTTTATGAAGTTAAGTATGACAATATTTCATATATACATGTTTAAATTTGCTTTTTCTTCCAGCTAAATATTTCCTTTTGTTAAACTACAGTGACCATAATTGCTGTTTTTACCAGATTTTGGCTGAAGTTCATTTGACAGTAAAATATCTACTCTTGCTTGCCTTCAGGTGCCTAGGGCATGGGAAATTGTTTTCTACTATTTGATATTAATTTGTTAAGTTTTGCAATTTGATAAATGTCTTCAAGGCAACAGACTGTTGGTTTCTGCTTTTTGATCAAGTCTTCAATCTGTGCCCCTAACAGGAATGGAAGCCATTTTCACTGGAAGTTACTACTAACAGACACAGATTTCCTGCACTCTTTGAAGTCCTTTTCAGTTGCTGACTAAAAAAAATCAGAAAATTGTGTTTACACACTAAAGTAATGCATCACTAGAATTCTATTGTGCTATATACAAATATCACAAAACACATGTCTTCTCTTCTATATTTATTACTTTCTTACTCTTAAACTGGATCCAACTCTGCAGCCTTCTGTCTTGTTCTCTAGACTCTAAAAATATACTACATTGCTGAAACATCTTCAAAACTATTATTCTTACCATAATACAAAACCAATTATAATATTTACTCACATTTTGTGGCATTTACAATGTGAGAAATACCAGAAAGGTCAACATTAAAATGTTTTATAAACCCATTTGTGCTCATCATACACTCTGGAGCAAAACAGAGTTAAAATCTGCTTCATAAGTAAAGATCATCCTGTTTAAGAATTTTATGAACCTCTGCTGCATAGTTTACTCCATGAACTTTGCAGGGCACATTTCACATCTTTATTCCTCAAGCTGTAGATCAAAGGATTCAGCATGGGGATGACGAGGGTGTAAAATATGGAAGCCACCTTGTCAGTGTCAAAGGAGTGGCTGGCCCTGGGCTGCACGTACATGAATATCAATGTTCCGTAGAACATGGTGACCACGGTCAGGTGAGACCCACAGGTGGAGAAAGCCTTGCGCCTGCCTGCTGCAGAGCTCATCCTGAGAATGGCCATGAGGATGAGCAGGTAGGACAGAAGAATAATCAGAAGAGAGGAAATTAAATTCAAGGCTGACAAGAATAAAATTATCACCTCTGTTTCACGTGTATCCGAACAAGCCAAAGATAACAATGGAAGATTGTCGCAGTAGAAATGACTGATGACATTGGATCTACAGAAGGACAAAGTGAAAACCTTCACGGTGACCAGAAGAGACACAAATGTGCAGTAGAGGTAGGACACTGCCATTAGGACCCAACATAGTTTTTGAGACATGACAGTATTGTAAAGGAGAGGGCGACAGATTGCAACATAGCGGTCATAGGACATCGCGGCCAAAATTAGAAGTTCGCAGGCAACAAACAAAAGGAAAAAGGCTAACTGCATAGCACAACAATGATAGCAGATTGTATTTTGATCCACAAGGAAATTTTCCAACATTTTTGGTCCTATAGCTGTTGAATAACCAAGGTCTGTAATTGCCAGGTGTCGGAGGAAAAAGTACATGGGTGTTTGCAGCCGGGGGTCCAGCTGGGTGAGGACGATCATGCCCAGGTTGCCCACCAGCGAGGTCAGGTAGGTGATGAGGAACAGCACGAACAGTGGGGCCTGCAGCTCAGGATGATCTGTGATGCCCAGCAGGATGAATTCGGTCACCACTGTGAGGTTGTGCTCCTCCATCCAGGTCATCAGAAGGCTCCTCCTATGTGGATACGTCAGCATGAATCAATAGTGTTGCATTATTACTACCTGGACAAATTTATTACATGGAGACAGTACAAATATAATCTATTGAATATTTCCAATAGACAGGATTGAAAACCAGGCCTACCTTCCATTAATAAGAACATAATTCACTTCCAGAAATAATTTGGCTGCCTGGAGAAGAGAACTGTTTGGAGCATCTGATGATTGAAGGAAAGGTAAACTGTTAAACGTTATATTGTACTCATTTTGGAGCATAAAATAGTGTCTGCCTCAGTATCTTCTTGCTAAAATTGAGGAAATATGCCTATTGGTAGACAGATGATAATACTTACCAATAGATAGAGATACATCAGAGAGATGATATGCAGATATCATAGATGATAGTATTTACAGATATTCATGTGCAGATACAGATACCTAAAAATGACAGATGGATTAATATTGATTATATTGTTCTTCAAGTTTAATAATTGTCATTTGTATAATAACAATGAACTAAAAACACTGAACGGGTATATCCAATAAGGTGCCATTTACTTTAATTGTAAGAAAAGTAAATACTTTCTGGTGAGTCCTCAAAAAGCTAAAACTACAAGTTCCTTTTACCCCACTAACCCTCTTCTAGGTATCTTGTTGAAAGTCATGTATCACGTCACAGTTTTGATGCGTACTCCTGTTTGCAGTGGCTCAAGTCATAACAGCTGAGCTTAGAAACAGCTTATGTGTTCATCAGTAGAAGGAGGGATAAAGGAAAGGTAAAGTTTCGCACACTGCTAGCTTACTGTAAGGAAAGAAAGGTAATCTTGAGTCTTTTGTAGTAAAAGGGTGTAACTTCACACCATAATGTGAAATGAAATTTAGCATATACACAAGCTTAAATGCCTCATGGCTTCTTTGATTTGAGAAACTCAACTTACAAAGAACAGAAATAAGCCAGACAGTAGGAAAAGAAATGAGCAAAATTATTGAAATGTGTTATGCACAAATGCCAACTCTACACAAGGAATGAAAACATGTGTAGCAAATGTGCACTAGTAAAAATAAATAAATGATAAATTTTAATGATAAATTTCAAAACAGCACATTAAATTGCATAGTATGCTACTTTTCTATTTTTAATCTATTTTGATAAGATGTTAACATAAGTTGAATTTATATACATTTACTTACATATCAGTGTTCCTCTGGGGATGTCTTAATGATAACTGAAATAAATAGCAAATTAAATACATACTACCTGTACTAATCTTAGAATATTAGTAGAGATGTTATTGCAATTTGTCTGCATAATGAAAAGAAAAAACTCTCAGGATAAAAGGGCAGCCTACACTGAAAACTATTGAAATATTTACAATATATTTTAATGCCTCAATGGGTAAAACTTTTACTATATTACAAAGTAACTAGCAGCAACAACAACAAAAAGTAAAGCTGAGAAATACACAGATTCCTGATGTGATTCAAGATGCTTATTTGAATTACATCCACAAGAACTTCTTCAAAATACAATACACTGCAAGTACAGAATGAAAGCAGGCATGTAGCATCTTAAAGTAATGTGATCAGTACTTTCAGAAAATGCTGTTTTGATGTTTTTGAAGCTAAAGTAATAAATAGTATCACAAGTAGGTAAAAAGTTAAAAATAATACAGTGTGAAATATAGAGCCACAAATCTCTAAGTAAAGCTACCAAAGGACAAATAAGACATGTGAAAGGTTTATTACCTATAACATACACTTTGTTCCCTGAAAAACTTCCTGAAACTGTGGAGACTCCTCCATCCATTCCCCCACTCCATGAAGATAATTTTCTCATATTACAGATAATAACCTTATCAGGTAATAACACTAGAAATGTGCCTTCAATGAAATGCCAAGAGAAGCGGCATGGTACTTGTTCTCTTCTATGTTGGCTTAATTCGCAATCATGGAAAAGATAAAAAATAACATGCATATGGTAAGAATTATTTTTTTTTCTAAGCAAGAACAAAATGAAAGCTTTTCCCCCAGCAATTTAGGAATAAAATCGAAAAAAAAATCTAACTTACTTTTTTATGCTATGTTATAGTATCTGGACACTTCAATTTTATTTTTAAAATGTACACTTCAAGAAAAATTTACTGCAAAATAAAGAACACTGCAGTATCCATAAACCTTTGTGTTAAATTCCCCTAAAATTCAGTAATTTTAACACCTCATCAACTGATGGAAATTCCCTTTTCCTCATGAAGGTACCAGGAATGAGTCATTTTGTACCGTTTCTCATGTAATTATGAAATGCTAAAATAATTTCCAGGAACTCACAAAAGTATGTAGATTCACAAATAACTGGAGATAGAGCGATCTCATGTAGGTAGTTTCATCAGTGAAATTTCAAAATGAAGCACTGCACAACATTGTGCCCTATTTTGATGCTGTAGCTCCTCTCAACGTTGAATATATATCTATATCTCTATATAGATGATTATATATGATGCATAATTTTGCATTTTCTACACAAACACACACACTGTATGCATGCTTCTAAGTTCATGAGCATTCATCCTCTCAAATTAGGTGTAAAATGTTCAAAAATTATGGTAAAGAGAAAAGGAGATTGTAGTTCCTATTTTGCACCACGGAATCAAAATTATAAATTTTCTTCATTAAATGGCAAAGGCAGAGCAAAAAATAGGATTGCTTCTGTAGATTTTGAGGAATTACCTTTGACATATGACACCACAAGAAGCCATCTGTCTTTGTCACCTGTTATGAAAACTCACTCTGGATTCTCCAGCCCGTGTTTCTTGTAACAATGATGTTTTGAGGGCAATTTATTCCTTTTGGAATATGCTTTTGAACCTCTCCCTGAGGAGAGGCTGAGCAACTTGCTGCTTATTCTTGAAGCCTTCGAGAATTTTGCCAAATATCTGGAGGTTATCCACTAATTCTCACGACTCTACTCAACTGTGCTATTGTGTTATTTATTTAATGTTTTGTCTCTGTGTTTATTTCACCATTCCGCAATCCCAGAGAAGGGGAGCTGTCCAAGGTACCGGCAGGAAGCTCTCCAGGAGGACTTCCTGCTCTCCCGCTCCTTGCAGCACTGTACAGAGTAGTCAAGCTGTGGAAAACTTAAGTACCCGTTTGAACATGAGTACAGAAATAAATTGTGATTGGCACACACAGCCTCGCTCAGTGTTTAGAAAAGCTTTCCGCAATACGCAGTAGTGTAGGAGCAGGAGGTTGTAGTCTACGATCCTCGTGGGATCCTGGTAGCTACGCGTTTCAGCAGCGCAGGGACATAGCTAGGAGAGGAGCATATCCCTTGCAAAGATGTGTCCCTGGCAAGGATGAACTGGAGGCATGACGCTCAATGCTGTGACGAGTAGCAAGGCAAACATGGTGTATTCCTACATAAGCAGTACAAGGCATTGAGGCTACTCAGATTGATAGACTAGAATAAGAAAATACAATGATGGTGTCAAAGGCTTGGGGGAAGGACGAAGATGCTGAGAAATAGCTGGATCATTTCAATTATGCAAAACAAATGAGCATCAGCTATTTGGTATAAAACATTCTATGTTTAGCAGTACTGCACTGTATATTTGAAAATGCTGAATATACACTTCATGATAAACAAAATAATTTCTAAAGGAGTGAAATACCAACACATGCTATAACAAAAATTTGAATAATATTTGATTCAAGGCAAATGAATCTAGATAAATAATTTTGATACAAATAGTTTAGAAGATGGGGCTGGGGAGATAGCTCAGCAGTCTAAACATCTGTTTGGCAAGCTCAGGGACTCTGCTTTGATCCTCAATAATGCATGCTGAACTGCCACCCTGGCCACCAAGATCAGACGTGGTGGCACACACGTGTCATCCCAGCACCAGCGTGGCTGAGACAAAAGGATCACTCGGAGCCAGAGCTGCATAGCAAGACGTGAACGTGGACCAAATAAATAAATAAAAGAGTAAATAATAATAATAATTTAGAAGAAATATCCAGAATAAAAAAACAAATAGAGATAAATAACAGACTAACAGGGCCTGAAGAAATTCAAAAAATGAGATGAATTAAAACTTGGACACAGTGCAGGCAGACATGTCTTAGAATTAGGCAGGGGCAGCAGTGACTTACTACTGAGAATGCAGGGAGTGCCACTAAGTGTTTCTCTTTAAAACAATATAATGACATGTAAATTTTTATGGCATGCGAATTATCTAAATAAATCAATGTTAAATAAGCATGTATATTTTCACACATGTAATTTTGTGTATCTATAAATTCACTATTATATTTAAATGATATAATTTTTTTCTGTATTTTAGGGAAAGGTCTGCAGGGTGTTCAGGGTCTCACTACTAGATCGGACTCATAGTGATCTGCCTATTTACAGCCTCCCAAGAGCTGGGATTACAGGTGCTCTCCACCACGCCCATCTCAATTGCTGTCTCAGCATGCACCAGGGTTGAGGCCAGCATAGCAGGCCTGGGGATCAAACCCCCGGCCTCTGGGCCTTCTTGCACGTGCTTCAATCCACTGAGCTATTTGGCTGGCCCCTGACCATACTCTTAAGTGGAACAGGTTGGACAAACATGTGTAAATATTGCAGTGTCTCTCCGATGTGAGAAATACAAAGTGTAATAAGGACTAATATATGTAACATATTGTGAAATAAGAAGAGATTGGCCAAAAGTAAGGGGGAACCATGGGAGAGAGGGGAAAGGAAGAAAAGAAAAGATGAGTGGAAGAGGGATAAAGTAGAAACAAAGTTGTGTAAATAATGAGGGTAAGAGGGGTTGTAGGGAAGCACGGTTGAGGGGCGGGAAGTGGGGGAAAAAAGAACTAGGATACATCACAGAGAGGTACAAGGTCCCTACAGTGAATGTGAACATGTGTGAGGAATGTGAGGAAAACTACAAGACCAATATCATCGATCACCTAAATAGAGAAAATGATTCTAAAACTCACAAAGAACCAGAAAAGACCTA